CAATGCTTATACAAAACAATAATATACTTAACGGTAAATGTAATAGACATTCGAAATCCAACTGTATATACTGACTGGTTGGAATGTTTTTATTTTTTGTTTTTTGAAGATTTTATAATTGGTCGTAAGTCCGGAATCGTTAAGAATACAAGCTATTAAGTGAGGAGTACTTTTATTTATATTGTAAATATTCAATGTGACCTTCAATCAATATTATCGGTTTTTATTAGAAATATTTAGAAACGAATTCGTGATTTGCGATTTTATTACTCAAATCGAGGGGTAGTTCTCATATTGTCAATAAATATGAGTAATACCAAAACTATTCGAGGGCCATTATAACTAATCTTAGAATAATTATATATTGAAAGGTATTTCAACTTAGCAAATTGTATTAAACATATTGAAAGAAATGCGGACAAAGCAGATCTGAAATATAAACGAAAGCGATATATTACTAAATTGGCCATATTTTAGTACCATTGACTTCATGTGTTTTAATGTGTGCAAATTATATGTGTGTGACTGTGTGTGACAAAAGTAGGAAGAAAATTCGACGAAACCCATTCCTACCTTTATATTTGAACTAGCCGTGTTCTCCTTGAATATATATATAATATATATATATATATATATATATATATATATATATATATATATATATATATATAGTAGACCAGAACGATATTAATGTGATATAACATTTTATTTTAAAGCTTCATAGAACATTTTATCAAGGAATAATAAGGGTATGAAGGTAAATTATATAATTCTAAAATATAAAGCTCAATAAACACTATATTTTGACACTATATATATATATATATATATATATGAAGTGAACATAGACGTCAACACTTAGAGGCGACAGTCTGTTTCATGCTAGATGCAATCGTCAGGCCATATATATATATATATATATATATATATATATATATATATATATATATATAGAGAGAGAGAGAGAGAGAGAGAGAGAGGAGAAACAGAGAGAGAGAGTGAGAGAGAGTGAGAGAGAGAGTGAGAGAGAGAAGGAGACCGTTTTTTGAATTCGGCGGTGCTTTTATACTAACTTCTGACATTGTACACTACAGTGTCACGTGACTACATATCCGAGAGGAAATTGTTCATTTAAACCGCTTGTGAACGTGAATGTTGCAATACTATATGTTATATTTATTAGTATTGATATTCGATTCCCAATATATAAAGATTGACATGAGTTGTAATCAAGATATAACCACAAAAGATAAGTAACATGTAAAGTTAATTATTGAAAGGGACATTAAGATAGAAATTGGTAGACATCTTTGTTGAAGTCACAAAACAACTATAAATTAAAATTAGAGACGAACAAAAAATTGACTTTGAGTATAGCACAAAAAGGGAACAGAATAATTCAGCGGGTAAAAGTGGGTTGAGCAGCAAGAAGATATGTGAAAAAAAAAAAAAACTTTAACTGCAATATTGGATATTGTGTTAAATAAATATATGATTTGGGGGATTTATTTATAAATAAAGAATTATTTTGTATTTAAACTGATTTCATAATACAATCTGTCTTGTCCAAAATAAGCGATTATCAACATTTCTCATGAAAATGCATATTAGAAACTTATCATATATATATAATGCTAATATTAGTATATCCCAGAGATTTTAACAAAATATATTGGTTAAAACTAGTGTTATGGAATCGTTCATTTGCGCAATAGCATCCGAAAAAGAGTATATAAACACACACACACACACACACACACACACACACATATATATATATATATATATATATATATATATATATATATATATATATAATCCCGCCATTATTGTAACAGCAAGGTTAATTCCTTTGTTTTTGTTGTTCATTGAAAACATTTTGGGTTTATGAGGCAAGAATCCAGAAATTCTACTTTTATTTCCATGTATTCATGTTTAGACTTAGGAGATATCACCTTTTATTTGAACCAACCAATTTTCTAGTGATCAGACTATTGGAACACGTAACTGACAAGTGTTTTTTGTTGCCTATCTGTTGCCTTTTAGATTGATTGTTTAAACATAAATAAATCCGAATGACTACTCTTGATTTTAGCCTTGGGTTGCACCTGTAAATAATGCATTTCTTGTTAAAAGGATAAACCCACATGAAGACGAGCGGGAGCTCTGTGAAAGGAAAAGCAAGACATTTTGAAACTAAGAAAAAGGAAAATCGAACAGAGCCATTTCACAAACATTTGGCATAGTCAACACAACAATTTGGAATATCCTGAAAAAGAAGGAAGGTACTGAAATTATGAGAGTTTTGAGGAAAGACTCAAAAACAACAGTCAGTGACATTACCAACAACCTCCACAGTACAGGTGTGAAGATTTCACAATCCACCATTCAAAGAAGACTTTGAGAGCAAAAATATAGAACACATATCACAAGATGAAAACCACTCATCAGCGGTAATAATCGGAAAGTCTTGTAGAACGGAGATGGACGAAAAAGTCCTGGAAGAATGTCTTATGGACTGATGAGACCAAGATTAATTTCTACCAAAGTGATGGAAAGACCAAAGTGGAGAAAGAAAGGATCTGCTTATGATCCAAAGCATACGAGCTCATCTGTGGTGCATCGTAAACGCAGTGTCTTGGCTTGGTCTTGCATGGCTGCATCAGAAATAGGTCCATTCATATTTATCAATGATGTAACTCCTGATGATAGCAGCAGAATGGAGTCAGAAGTGTACAGAAATATTTGGTCTACACTTTACAGAGAAATGCATCCAAACTAATCGAGAGGAAATTTATCATGCAGCAGGACAATGATCCAAAATATATTGCCAGCACAACAAAGGACTCCATCAGGGGAAAAAAGTGGCCAGTTTTAAACTGACCAAGTCAATCAATGGTCATACATTTCATCTCCTGAAGCAGACACTGAAGGAAGAAACTCCTCGAAACAAACAAGAACTGAAAGAGGCTGCGTTAAAATTCTGATAAAGCATCCCAGATGAAGAATGCAAAAATTTGGTGATGCCAATGGGTCGCAGGCTTGATGCATTTACTGCAAGTAAAGTTTATGCAACCAAATATTAAATGTTATTTACATTAAGATTATCTATTCACTTACTTTTTCTCAGATGAAAATGGGGTGACCTGATACAAAAGATGGTATGTCCGAATCTGTTTAACACATCTATATGTAAATACCAGGAAATAAAAGCTGAAACTTCTTGTCTCATATTCATCTTTTGATCTTAAACCCAAATATCTTCAGTGAACAACAAAAACAAAGGAATTGGCCTTGCCGTTTCAAAACTTTTGAAAAGGACTGTATATATTTGTGTGTGTATGTGTCACTCATCTCTTACGCAATATCTTTTCGCTCTCTTGTACTCGAATATAAGGCACATTCCTTATCTTCATTGCGCATCTATTTTCTCACTTATTCATGCTTCCTGTCTTCCTTCTCCCACACACTTTAAACCTTTCATTTCTTCTCACTCATATAAATTACTTTTACATTCATTTTTTATCGTTCTTTGATTCTATCCCTTCTAACCTGTTAAGTATATTACTGTTCCTTTCTTTTACTTTCCTTCCATAGCTTATTCTCTCCCCCTTTCACTTCCTTTCTTTCTTTCTTTCTCTGGAATGTATTCGGTAAATATTTGGGAAAGTGCTCTCGGATCCTTCTTCAATAACCAATCCTTCCGGTCCAATCCGACTATATGACGTCATAGTTGGTAGAATGTTTCAATTGATCTTTGACACGTGTCAGATTTAACACGTCGACCATTCACCATTCTTGAGGTTGAAAGGAAAAGAATGAATTCCAACCAATTTAAAACTCGAAACAACTCTGTATTATTACATTTCAAAAAAAATTATGATCATACAAAATAAATAGCAAAACAAAATTTATCAAATGTTCCTACTTATCCTTATTTAAACATTCTGTCAGATTTAATTCGTATTTAAGAACTCCTTTTCCCAAGGGTATTACATTCAGTTACGTGCTAATACCCTTGGGAAAGGTATGAATTCTCTTCTTCTCCAGCTGTGGATAAATAGCAGGACAGACAGGGTTCTAGAGCCTTGGATGGCAACGGGTCTACCACAAAAAGAAATGGCAACCTACTGCGGGAAAAATCTGCCTCGTCAGTCATTTATCGAAAGATACATGATCGTCTACGCGTGTATCACGCATGGTACATAACTGACTGAGTGATAGCGAAAAACATGCCAGATAAAATGAACCAACAAGACTTATTTTGACTGGAGTATGTATTACCGCCATGAAAATCAGCATTCATACTCATATTTTGCATGCGGTACCCAAACATCGGCAAATGTCATTTTTGGAAAATACAAAATTCTTTTTATCAATTATCAAGATACTTCTTGATATTTCCTGTTCACACTTAATCTGAAACAAGGGTCATTCAGAGACATCAAAAAAAAAAAAAAAGAAAAAAAGGGAAATTGTTTTTTCCTTGCGTTTTCCTGGAAAATTTGATCAAATTACTCTTTGAAATTTTAGACTTAAATCGGCTAATCAAGTGACTATTGGTAAGGCTGGAAAATAGGCTATTAACAGTTCTCAAGGGATTCAATCAGAAACCTATTTTTAACCAGAGTTAATGGTTTGGAGTCTGTTAACGTTGGCCACCTCAGCAAAGTTCAGTAATCAATACTGAATCAATAATAATTACACATATACAAATTTTCTATAAGTTTCAGGATCTTCAGACGCATAATTGTTTACAGGATTCTGAATTTAACCCCTGACCAAGCAAACATAATTGATGGGATTTGAGCTAGACAAACATTCAGCATCCATCGAAAAATAGAATTCGACATTGCACCTCCGCTTCAATTATATTTTCCAAATTGATATTCGGTTTCCTGCAAAATCAAAGAAATTGGCCATCAGTAATAACTTTCCAAATATCAAAAATCATTATAGTCTTTAGATTTTCTTAATTTACCACGGTGAATCGGTAAATAATGAATTCATATCTATCTATCTATCTATCTATCTATCTATCTAGAAGAGTAACTTCTGAAAAGTTTTCAGACCGACCAAAACTGGATTCTTTACAAACGTTCAGTGGTTTGTTCTTTGGTTAGAGTTTGAGAATTGGAATAGGCGGAAGATTTTCAGTGTCCCTTTTGTGTTTCACCCCCCCACACACACAATTATTTATTAGCTCAAACGTTATTATAGTTATATATTCATAAAAATAATTATTTCTTCAGAAATATATATATATATATATATATATATATATATATATATATATATATAGTGTCACACAATGAAAGACAGTTTCGCTGTTAACAGCTCTTCAGTGCGGCTAGAATTCCGATTCAATATATATATATATATATATATATATATATATATATATATATATATATATATACCAAAGTTTATAATTGGTATATACGGAATGAATTTCAACAACCAACAATTACTATTCTTAAAAGAGTGCTCAATACAAAGTAGAGCAGATATAATTATTTTATAAAAAAAAAAATTATAACATAAGTATGTTATAAAATCACTACAAAAATAGCCATTTTGTTTCAACACACTCTGTGTCTTATCAAGTGATGATGTTGAAAAGAAAATAGATGGTTTAAAAGTTTCAGATTAATTAACGATCCTACACTAGGGGGGAAACATTGTTACAAAAGCTAGAATAACCAATCAAAAACGAAGTATAGAAAGATTCAAAAAGCTTGACAACGAAATCCTGCTATAATAGCTATTCAGATCTTTAAATACGTGTAATATTAAAAATAATTTATACTAACTAATAATTATAAATTTATATGATAAAATTTAATATTAAAATTAAAAACTGGCAATTTTAAAATCCAAATTTAATCACTATTAAGTTTAAAAACTACAAAATTATTGAGAAAAAAAAATATATATGTTTATTCAATTCATTTCTTCATTGAAATTACGTTCGACAAGACAAGACGCTACAATACATCCGGTCATTTGATAATACATGTATATATATTTTTTCTTTTCCCTTTCTTTTCCGTTTTATTTTAAAGTTTGTAAATATGGTCTTAAACTCACGCGTGACACAACAAAAACACAATCAGATTATAATACATAAGCACCCAGACATAATTAGATACACACACACACACACACACACACACACACACACACACACACACACACACACACACACACACACACACACACACTAACAAAAAAAAGGGAGAGGTGGGGGGAATACATGAACATCTCTACAGCCCTTGTGGCTATTTTTGTGGTGATTTTATAACATACTTATGTTATAATTTTTTTTATAAAATAATTATATATATATATATATATATATATATATATATTTACCCGAATGCAATGACAACGAAAATAATATAAATTCCGACGTTCACAGCATTAATTCAAAAGAGGGCTCAATACCATGAGTAGAGGAATAATTATTTATTATAATTTTTACATATGTATGTTTTACAAAAACCTATATAAACTCACATGTACATGTTTCAATGAAGACGACCCAAAAGGTACTGCGATTTTTATTTAATTATTCTTGTGTTCGAACAAATGCCTTCTTTCCTGGACACAGTGCGTTTAAAACTGTCCAAACGTTCTGTAATTCCGAGCGTTTTCGGCTATACATTTAGCCTTTATCAAGATGATTTTATTTTTACTTTTTAACTGGATGTATGCGTTGTGTATATGTACCTAGAGTTATGGGGATGTTTTATTTTAATGGTCCTGTTCGTAGGTAAGATTATTGATTGTTGGACTTTTCTTTTTTTCTTATTAAGGCTTTCATTATTTTAAATCATTTTTGACATGTGGATGAAGTTTTTATGCTTGTATTTTCTACTAGTATAATTCGGATGGAATCTGCTAAGTTTTAAACGGGTTCTAATGGAGCTGTGGTCGAATAGGCGTAACGTAAGTCGTTTGGATAGGCATGTAGTTGTGAGACCGATGTAATTATTTATGAGTTCGGTTTGATCAGGAACACAGTTTCTTAAAGGACATTTGGACTCGTAAATAATGTTCGTTGTTTGTAGTTTTGATTTTGCGGGTGTGTTGTTATTTTGAGAATAAGGTTAGCTATTATAACTTGTAGTAGATAATTAATTTGATATTTTTGTTCGGGTCAACTGTATTAGTTTATTTCTTTATGATATTTCAAAGTGAAGATTCATCTTGTTTATATTTGATGTGAATTTGGCTTTTGTAGAAGAATAATTATGTTATTTTCGTCTGTGTGTTCACTATCATTATTATTTACAGTGGCAAGAAATAGTGGTCTATGAGATGGTCTGGTGGTGTATACGATGGCCTGGTGGTCTATGAGATGGCCACAAAAACCATTGTTAATTATTGTTTTTTTTTTTACATTGTTGAATTCTTCAAGGAAAGGGGACGAGAGGATGAATCCTCGTTTGCTCTCTTTAGTAAGTTTTTTAACAGTGATATTTTGTATCTGAGAGGGCATTCACTCTTGAAGATTACAAGAGTTTCCGCGAGTGGGTGTTTTTTTATACAATGAAGTGGAAAAAGTGTTATTAATGTATTCTATGAGAACGTCTAAAAATGGGAGTTTTTTTTTTAAGTAAGTTCCTAGGTAAAGTTATGGACAGAGGTTTTTCAAATGTGGTTTTTGAGAGAATCTATTTTCATTGGTGGTTTTCGCTAAAATGAAAATATCGTCTACGTACTGGACATATATTTTAGGTTTACTGTCGTGTTTAAATATCATGTTTTCAACATGGGACATGTAATAATGGGAAAAGCACGGTCCGAGCGGATTTCCCCATATTAACACCATTAGTTTGGGTGTAGCGGTTACTATTATGGACGTAGAAGGGGACTTTGTGTGTGCATGCATATAATATGTTTTGAGGATATTTTGATTTGATGGATGCAGTGGAGGCTAATGTCAATGGTTTGATTGACGGGGACGTTTGTGAATAAATTTTTGACGTCTAGTGACTCTAAGATACCTTGGGTTGATTTTTGTACTTTTTAGAATTTGGAGGAATTCGTGGGTGGATGTGATGCTTTAATTGGTGAATAGGTATGGGATAATGATATCATTAAGGAACTATGATAGCTCCTAAGCAGGCGTTGGATCTGTAAAATGATTGATCGTAGCGTTATTCGATGTTATGAGTTTGTTGACAGATCTTTTTAGGGTTTCCATGTGGTTTCTGTCTAGTTTGGTTAATTTAGTTTGGTCATCAATGATGTTTTGTAATTTTTTATGGTAATCGGCTTTATCCAAAATTACATATGTATTAGCTTTCTCGGCTCGTCTGATGACAATGTGCATATTTTACTTGTGGTGATTCATAATTAGAATTCTGATTTGAATATATTTTCCACTCGTTGTTTCTAATACAAAAAATATTAACTTTATTTGGGTTTATTAATTTATTCCAAGTACTGTGTTCTTTCCTTAATAATTATCATCTTCGAAATATTGTTGTTTTTTGTCTATCAGATTTCTTACGTCGGCATTTTTTAAATTATTTCTTAATACTTTCTTTTAAATATTGAATTAATTTCAAATAGAACCAATGTCTTATTGATCTGCCTTGTAACAAATTGCAAAGGGAATTGTAAAAACGGTCCTAAAGTACGTGGAATTATCTTTCCTAAAGATAAAGAATTATCCGATTTTTTTTCGATTCGTACAATCAGTAGAGATCGTTAGATTATTGTTTAGGTTGACGGACACGCATGTCTTAGGTTTTTTTTTTTACGAATTGGTCAAATCTCAAACAAAAACATTGTTTTCAATATCGTTATGATGAGTACCCTGATTGAATAGAATTAGAATTTTATTATAAACAATTGTCTTGTAAATGGAATTTTTAAAGCATTCTGAATGTATAAATAAAGAAAAAGTGTGCAAGACAATAAGAAATACTACCTGCCAAAAAAAAGTGGATGTTTGTTTTATCGGCTGAAAATGTAAGAAATTCGATCCCATATACAAAGGAACACACACACACACACACACACACACACACACACACACACACACACAGACAGACACACACACACACACACACACACACACAAACAACCTGGGTTTTTAACCTAAGTCACTTCACGGAATCCTTAAAACATAGAGCATAGTCTGATGAAAAAAGACGCCAAAGTTTATGAAAACAAAATTTTATCGTCAAAATGCTTATGTTTTTATGAAGAGGATAGACTAAATTTTTTTTAATTATTTTTAAAAATTTTTCCATCTTTTTAGAATATTCTAAATTTTGATTTAGTAAATAACATAGATAATTTTTAGCGCGTCTTTTTGTATTTACACACATTAATTTGGAAAATCTTGCAAAAATAAAAATAATTGTCAGATGTTAATGAAACTTTCAGAAACTATTCACAGATGATCGAAATTATTATAAATATGTTTTTTTTTATTAAATTCATGGCAGAAATATTTTTTTATATTTATTAACACCCCCATAACTAATTTTATGAAAAACTCTAGAAATTCGAGACCATCGGTTTTAGTGATTACAATAGTTTAAGGCTTTGAAGAATGCAAATCATGTTTTTTTTTTTTTTTTTTTTTTTTTTTGGCCAACGTACCTGAAAATCAGCTGTGAATTGTAAAATACAAAACTCAATAAAACAAATATATTATTTAGTTTCAAATGCTTTTATTTGTTTTAATTTGTTTTATGAATATGGACAATATTTTCTGAAAGCAAAAAGTTTTTTCAATGAAAATTGAATTTTTAATACAATTATTTCTTATTTCTTTAATTTAAAAAAGATTTTAAAAAAATTTTAAATTGAATTTTTAAAAATATTTTAACATTAGTTAAAAGCAACATCAACCCTTCAAAATGTTCGTGTGAGATTGTCATTGTCTAGCGCTTTGAAAATTGTATAATTTGGACCAATCAGATTAGCCATGGTAATTAAGAAATGTAATTTTTGTGTTTATAGTCGGACAGTAATTATTAAGTACGGAAGACCAACCAGAATACAATTTAGTTGCATTATTTGAGTTCAGCATTGTTC